CCTATCATGTGCGCAGGCGTGCTGGGGGGGGGTCGCAGGTTGCATTATGGTGCGGCACACCCACGTACGACCCTCCTGCGCTCCCCCCACTTATGGCATGCGAGCCAAAAAAGGTTCATTATCGCTGCCCTATACTGTTACAGACAAATGGTTGCCAATCTCTTCTTAAAAAGCTCTAATGTTGTAGCACCCCTAACTTTTGGAGGCAAACCATTCCACTGATTAAATATTCTGATTGTCAAGCAATTTCTCCTTAGTTCTAGATTAGTTCTCTCCTTGATGAGTTTCTATCCACTGCTTCTTGTCCTTAACTTGAGGTGCTTTGGAGAATAGGTTGGTCCCGTCTTCTTTGTGGCAGCCTCTTAAATATTGGCACATTGCTCTCATGTCGCCCCTAGCCCTTCTTTTCATCAAACTAGACATACCCAATTCCTGCAACCGCTCTTCGTATATTTTAGCCTCCAGTCCCCCAATCATCTTTCTTGCTCTTCTCTGCACCCTTTCTAAAAGAGTCTCAGCATCTTTTTTTTTTTAGTATATCGCGGCGACCAAAGTTGGGAAATGAAATTCCTACTGGCCAGATTGTTCCCAGGGAATTCCTTTTCCAAGAAAATACACTACTCGGAGACCAAAGATTGTTGCCGAAATCATGGGCCGTGTGTTGCTGACGGCTGTGGAACTGTCTTTCAGGTGGTGTCCTATGCAAAATTCTTGTATCCAACCAACGCTCTCGTGGGCCACAAAAGTGATGGCATCAGTGCCATTTCCGTATGTCGAGCATCTGCACCCCGAACAGCTGGAGGATCGAGGTACAAAACGCCAGCAGCCAAAACCATCCCTTCTACAGCAGATCTCGGTAAGTCCTTCAAGAATTATATGCTACCTTTCTGTATTTTTTTTAAATTTTAAATAAGAAAAATAAAAGCAAACAGTGGTTGCATTGCAATTAAGAGGACAGGTGGAATATTGCCAGCTGTAGATTTAATGGACCAACTGGGTGAAAATATAGCATTTCATTTTCTAAAACAGCAATTTGGGAGCCTACGTTTTTCACAGATTTGATGCTTTTCTTTGTCCTTGTTAGTACTCTGAGAGTTAATTATAAAAATTGCATTAGTAGAACGTTTTTGTACATAATACTTGGCATTGTAGCAAAGGATAGATGTTGTCCTATATACTCAGCATAATCTTGGGATGAATTTTTTTTAAACCAGCAGCTGCTTTGAATAGAGTGCAAGAGGAGATACTACAAGACATGGGTAGAGTGAGGTCAAATGTAAAGGAGAAGCAGTTTGGCCTAGTGGTTAAGGTGCTGGCCTAGAAATCAGGAAACTGTTGAGTTCTAGTCTCACTTTAGGATTGAAAGCCAGCTCGGTGACTTTGGGCCAATCACAAGGAGACAGTGAGTTCTAGTCCCGCCTTAGATACGAAAGCCTGCTGGGTGACTTTGGGCCAATCACCAGGAGACCGTGAGTTCTAGTCCCGCCTTAGGGCGTGAAAGTCTGTTGATTGACTTTGGGCCAGTCCCTCCCACTCAGCTCAACCCACCTCTCCAAGTTGATGTTGTGGTAGCAAAAATAGGAGGAAGGAGTATTGGGTATATTTGCCGCCATGAGTTGCTTATAAAGTAATAAAGGAAGGATAAAGAAATAAATAAATGCTCACATTTATTTCATGTATTTTAAATATTAGTTTAGTCTTTTGTGTTTCAAAGCAAATATGACTATTCCCAGAGCATTTAGCCTCAGTAGAGGAGCCAACCCAATTGTCTTTTCTGGGCTCAGAAATTGAGCAGTTGAGTTTGACTAATACAGGTGTGAACCAGTAGGAAATTTGTAAACTGGCCCATCGAAAACAATCTGGAAGGATCAGTGATGGGATTCAATTTTTTTTACTACCGGTTCTGTGGGTGTTGCTTTGTGGGCGTGGCAGGGAAATGTTGCTGAAAAATCCCCGTTCCCTCCCCACCCCACTAACCTGCTTTCCAGATCCATTCTCCTGTTGAGGGCAACAAAAGAAGATTGACTGGGAGGCAGCGGGGGCGCGGCCAGCCTATTTGCCGGTTCTCCGAACTACTCAAAATTTCCGCTACCGGTTCTCCAGAATCTGTCAGAACTGGCTGAATGCCAACTCTGGGAAGGATACAAATTTGAAATTATTTCCTTGTTTTGTCCAAGAAAATTGCACGGGTCTGGGAGGTCAGTGAGAGCCACCCTTGACCTGAAGAGGGATTTACTACATGTGTATTTTACATTAAAATTACACCTTTAGTGTAAGTTTTGGAGGGGCTGTGCAACTGCTCCCAAAGCTTCAGGATCTCACTGGCTCGGTAGCCTCACAATATGCAACTCTGGTTTTACCCTGCTGAGTGAAATAGCCCAACCTCCAATTTATGAGGTGTTCTGCTTATCTAGCAAATTTTCCGGCCCATCTACTTATCTAATTTGCCTGAATGCTTCCAATCAATGTGTAAAAAGCACAACTGTAATTTGTAATCCAATTATTTCCTACTAACCAGTTGCTTTCCACATTTGATAATAGACATATAAATCAGGGGCTATCTATCTAGTCATTTCTTCTTAATTCTGGACCTCCTGTTTGGGAATTTTTCAACTTTTCAAAGAATATAGAAACAGAGAAAGACAGGAAAAGTGGAAATGCATTTATCCAAGCTTGCTTACATGCTGCCGTTCACCTCAATTGAAAACCATATGTAGTAGTGTTTCTCAGCTTTGGCAACTTGAAGATGTGCGGACTTCAACTCCCAGGATTCCCCAGCCATCATGACTGGGGAGGAATCTTGGGAGTTGAAATCTATACATCTTCAAGCTGCTAAGGTTGAGACTGATCTATGGTGTAAAAACCTGTAAATATGAAACAAAGAACAGCCAAGAAACAGACAATTTATCAGAGGAAGGTCAAGGCTAGGCTTCTGTGGCAAAGGGTGCCACAGTTATCCCATTCCAATTCTCCCGCAACTGCTCAGCTTTGGAAATAGACATATTCTGTGAAGCCATAGTTAATTTCCACTATGGTTTGTGGACCTAATCCTTCGCTAAGAAAGGATTTTTCAAAATGACCATCAGATCATTAGTATTTCTTATATTACTATTAACACTCTCTGATGCTAAGGAGTTAGACGTTCTACTCCCCCTCCCCAACCTAAAAGAATTCTGTTCCAACTTGGGTGTGGGCTTGGCTAGTGCATGAAGTATCCAGCTTGTGGTTGGCAGTTTAGACATTCTACTCTCCCTCCCACCTGAAAAAACGCTTTGATGCTAAGGAGTTACCTGAGGAAGAAAAGGGGATAAGATAGGAGAGGCCTCTGTGGGGAAAACCTGAGGGAGAGAAGGGGAGAGGAGAGGCCGTAACTACTCATTAATTTTCAAGCTGTAAGTGTTGATTTATCAAGCCCGATCACATCCTTTCGTAGAGGAGCACGGGTATCCAGCAGTCCATATATAAATTTGATGCTGTGTTTAATTAAATAATGACAGAAAGGTTAGGAGAACAGATACCAACAACCATTTTAAACGCTTTCCTGCTCCTAAACTCAATAAGAAACTAAATAAGTTTCTGTTGTTTATTTAATATATTTCTATCTCACCTTTAGAATTGGCATGAGATCTTGCAAGCTGTGAGGCTTGATTGATTTGATTTGATTTGATTT